AGAATCTGCCGCTGGTGGGCCAGGTGGGGCTCGGGGCGGATCTGGTCCGGCTCGACGGAAGCGCGATGTGCTCGCCGGGATTCTCGTGCGACTCGGCCCTGCAGGTGACCTACATAGTGAAAGGCAGCGGGCGGGTTCAGGTGGTGGGCGTGGACGGGAAGAAGGTTCTGGAGGCGACGTTGAAGGGAGGGAATCTGTTCATAGTGCCCAGATTCTTCGTGGTGTCGAAGATTGCAGATCCGGAGGGGATGGAGTGGTTCTCCATAATCACAACTCCCAATCCAGTCTTCACCCATCTCGCCGGAAGCATTGGGACTTGGAAGGCTCTCTCGCCGGAGGTTATTCAGGCCTCCTTCAATGTCGATCCTGACTTACAGAAGCGCTTCTCCTCCAAGAGGACTGCTGACGCCATCTTCTTCCCTCCAACTTCATCCAATTAGTTTCTTTCCAACTTCTCATTCATGCGTTTTCCCTTTGTACAAATTAGGATACACTTCTTTTGTTCTTTTCTTTCCTTTGTTTTTTATGCTACGGGGTTCTTCTTCTGCTGCCTAATTTGGTGGTTGCTTTTTAGTACTTTCGACTCTTTTTATTTCAATAAATATTGGCAAATTTTGTTTTTATTACGTATTAAGCTTATTATTATTATTATTTTGTATAATTGGGGTGGGGTATTTGATTTCATTATGGATTAAGGACAGTGACTTTTAATATTTCCACCTCATATGTTAGTATAAAAAAATAGCTAATTGATACTACTAAGATACTGATTGATAAATTATCTCATATCTCATTTACATATGTGCCTCTGTTTTGAAATCTAATACTTCTCAAAAATATTTTCCTAATAAAAAATAGGATCAATTTTTTAAATAGAGAAAAGAAGTTAAAAATTATTTTTTTAAAATTGACTCAGAATTCAAACTTGTTTTTTCTTTCTACCAGTGTTGGGGTCTTAAACCTACCACAATTGTTCTCTTTTGAAAATTAAATTAGTAGATTAATGTTAATTTTCATAAAAGAATTTAATGGAATTTTTGAGAATTTGCTTTCCAGAAATTACCAGAGACTTAAAATCTAACGGGAGTTGTGAAAATAATTTAAATAAATATATGTCCATGTTAATATTATCGTAATTGAAAAAAACTTTCAATTCGATTAACTCATTTGAACTCTTTTGTTTTATTTTTTATTTTGAACTCAACTAAACTAAAAAAAGTTGAGCTAAGCAATGTCTTATTTCAAAGTAATAAATACAGTAGTCTATTTTGGGAAATTGGGGTTTCTATGGATTTTTTACTCCCTGAAGTTTTACACTTTTTGTTTTTCTAAAATTTAAATATAGATTTAATTGACAAAGTGGGTTACAATAAATGCAAAAAAAGAAAAAGGAAACAACTGCGTGAGGGATAGTGTTCGTCCGGGATTATTTTTAGACCATTTTATTTTTGCATTTATTGTCCTTTTGTCAATTAAATCTTGGGCATATTTATTATGTGATTTCAATTTTTTTTAAATACATTTTTTTCATGTTAGATCTATAATTGATTTTAAGTTTGAAAATTAGATTTCTTAGATTTGTAATTGATTATTCAGAGTAAAAAGAGATTTTTTCTATATTGAAGAAATTTGTGAAAGATTNATAATAAAGATATCTTGATAATTTTATAAAATAAAAAAAAAAGAAAATAGGTAAAAAATTAGAAGTGTGGTTCATGAATATTTTAAAAAGGAAGTGAAAAGTACACATTAAATTAAGAGAAGGGACAAAAATCCCAATTTCCCGTCTATTTTGGGATCTAAATTTTAAAATTAATGTCCATATCTTGAAAAATTTTCACTTTTGTCTAAAGTTGGCCGTTTTAGAAAGAAGCTCAATTGGAAACTATATTAGTCCCATTATGAGATATTTTTTTACAACAAATTATAAAAATTTTAATTGATTAAATCCATTGATTTAATTTTGTCATGTTGTGCATCTCTGTGTCAACTTCTGGAAGATTATATGAGGAATCTTATTTTAATGTTGGAAATTTAAAAGTGTAAACAATAACAAAGATGAACGTTCGTCAAATATTAATTCTAAAATTACCATCTACGAAGAATTTACCTATTTTCTAAATTACAAGGTTCCACGTGCATGGATTTATTACTAATATATATAGAGGGAGAATCTTTGTTTCTTATTGTTGTCCTCAACTTTTTAATAAAAATAGTGTGTCTATTCATATATGAGTGCAATTGGGATGGTTAATTATTTATATATAACACAATAGATAGATATATTTTTTTAGAGAGGAGTTAGGAGGTGCAATTCGATGAAATGATACGTCCATCTCCAAATAGGTACGATTACGAACATCTATTTGTCATAATATAGACTTGTTGTTGCTATCATTGATCTTTACTACTTTTAAATTTCTTATTTCATGCTTATTTCTATGTTTATCGCTTTATTAACTAACTTCGGTTTCTAAACTGATGAGTTAGTTTTGACCAACCATTTATGCATTGTGATCGACAACTAATGTTTATTACTTCAATTGTTAAATTAATTATTTTACAAATTCGATTACTGGGTTAGTTTTCATATTCTACTCATTAATTAGACTTTTACTTTCCTATTTTGCTATTTAAATTTTCATAAATTCACCGTAAGAATCAGTTAGATAAAAGATCGATTTGGGTTGGGTTAAATTTTTTGTAAACCGATAAGTTCGGTTCGATTTGTAGACAAAAAAATAATAATAATAATTTGTTCGAACCGAACCGAACCACAATCACTCTCCATCTCACCTATTTCATCTTTCATTTTATCACTCTCATCTCTCAAACTCGATCTCACCTCTCTCATCTATCACAATTTCATCTCCAATTTCATCACTCCCATCTCTCAATCTCGATCTCACCTTTCTCATTGTTCGTCACTAATATTTGTTGTCGCCAACGTTGCTACTGGCCTGTCTCTATCATCTTTTGCCGCAATTCGTCGCCTGTCGGCCATTGCCACCATCTCTATATCTATTGTGACGGTGTGAATGTTAAGTTGGGTTTCATTTAATGTGAATGATTTTTCTCTCTTATTTCATTTTGTTGGTTTGTTTGGATCTGAAACTTTAAACTATGATGGTTTTTTTGGATCTGGAACTTGAAACTGAGATGATTTGTTCGGATCTACAACTTGAAACTAAAAGTTGTTTAGATCTGGAACTTGAAACTAAGAGTTGTTTGGATCTGGAATTTGAAACTAAGAGCAACTAGATGACCCAACCCAAAAATTTTGGGTTGAGTTGGGTTGGGTTGGCCGTCATGCTCGATTCCATCAGTTCTTTGATCCAGTCAACCCAAAAATTCAAGTTGGGTGATAACTCTCCAAAAAAGAGTTATTCTAGTGTTTATTTTGGATGATTTTATACACAAATAAATGTCTAAGTGTGTCGGTTTTAGCTCTTAAACATCATGAAAAATCTCATAAACTGAACTTCAAACTAAAAGTCTTAGGTCTAGATTACTTTGGCTAAATATTGCACTAATGCTTTTATTTTTGGCTTAGGGCTGGAAGCAGAAAACAAAGCATGGAGAGAATGCTAAGCCCAGAGAAGAGTGAGCGAAGCATCTTCAAGATAGAGCAGACGAAAGCTGGAGTGACGCAGCGTGGGAACATGGAATTAATGCGCAGTAATAGCCCAGACACGGGAATTTACCATGTCCGTACAAACTTCAGCTGGGTGTCCTAAAAACGGGACTCGATATAAAAGGGACATGTTGCCCTAGTCGACACACACAGATCCCAAGAGAGACACGTTTTTTAGAGCTGAAACGACAAGGAGGAGGAATCTCTCCATTTCTAGGGGAGAAAGCTGACGACGGAGGGAGATATTCGACTGCTGCATCGAGCTGTCATTTTTTTCCTCGGTTTTCTGCTATTTCTTTTAAATGRGTTGTATTCTTCCTTTGCCCATTGTATTTTCTTATTTCTCCATGAGCTAAACCCCAGTTTGGGGGAGATATACATGTTGTAATTGATGAACAATCGAACCTCTAGCTGCTTCATTTGTTTTTAAATAGAGCTGTTTCTATTTCTTAAATCTTACCTAACATTGTTGGCCACTCTGTTCTGTATGCTAGCTTCTGTATTGACTCGGGAGGGCTTACGAATTGCCGACTTGCTCTATTTGTGATTAATACTTTTTTACAGTAATTTGTGGATGCTCAGGAATGGAGTCCCCTAATCATGCTTGGAACTTGTTTGTATTGCTTGGAAACTTAGCAACAGGAGTTGTGGGTATCCATATTTGGGTGTCTCGGAATGGAACCATGTCGAGTTGAGCACTAATGAATGTTGTCATGCTAGATGGTAGGTTGAGAAGTTAGTGAAAGCATATTAAATCTCCCCCATTTTTCCATATCTGTTACTCCTCATTTTCGTTGTTCTGTGCTGTAACTTCTTTATGTTATCAGCTTTTTGAAGTGTGTTTGCTGTTGAGATCATTTACTGTTTTGTTTATGAAAATCTTTTACATACAACACAATCATCTATATTTCCTTGCTTTTACATTTTGTTATCTGCAAAATAATTTATAATATTATCCAAAGTCCCTGTGGATTCGACCTCATTTCGTGCTACAATCGACAATTTCGTGTATACTTGCACGTGTTGTCAACACAGTTGTGTGGACGCAACATTGGTCCAAAAAAACACCCTAACTCGACTGAACCCAACTCGTGAACACCTGTATCACAAAGTAAGCAACAAGTAAAACAAAAGCTCTAAGATAACTAAAACTTGTTCAATCACACTTCTAAGATAAGTGACAGATCAATCAAGTAATTGCAATGAGATTGTAGTTGGTTGAATCTCTCCCAGACCAAGTTTCTTGAAGACAGACAATGACATCAAATTAATACTAGCATCAAAATCGCATAAAACCCTATTAAAAGATGAACTACTAATAACCCTATTAAAAGATGAACTACTAATAGAGCAAATAATAATAGAACTCCTTGGATCTTTTAATTTCGAGAGCAACTTTCTCTAAAGGATCATACTGCACTCGTCAGTCGGATTCACCGTCTTGTATGCCTCAAATTTCATTTTCTGACTACAATTTCTTTCATAAACTTTACATAGTGCCATTTGTTCCCGCATACGTGCATAAGCAATATTGTGAAGTTTCTTAGGGTGCAATCGGTTCAGAAAACAGAAATCTAAAAAAATAAGAGATTCAATAAATAACAGAGTTGTATTACTTGTTTTCAATTCTTTTAGATATGCGTTTGGTAGCACATTTAGAAATTGAACGTTCATGATCAGAAAACAAAAATCTAAAAAACAAGATATTCAATAAATAACATAGTTATATTACTTGTTTTCAGTTCTTTCATATATGTGTTTGGTAGTAAGTTAAAAAGTTGTTGTTTTCAATTCTTTTAGATATGTGTTTGGTATGTGTTTGATAGTAAGTTAAAAAGTTGTTCTGACTTTGTTTAGTAATATATTTGTAAACTACTTGGAGTTACCAACTAAATATTTAGTTCAATCTAAAATAATATATTAATTAATTTATTAATATTTTTGTTATAAATTTCGTAGAATTATTATTTTACAATATTGTATAATT